AGGCCCAACAAAGAAAAACAAGTTACAAAATGTCGGCACGCAGGCCAGAAAACTACGAGTACGCAGGCCCGGGAACCTATACCACCTTGCCCTCCTGATCAGCAACCACGGGGACCTCCTCGGGAACGACAAGCTCGGGGTCGACCACCTTCCCGCCGACGATCTCATGATACGGCCTAATCCCATCCACGACCAGCGCGACGCCGGGGTTGACAACTTAGATCTGCGCAACAACACTCTTGAACCCGACCTCGACAGCCTCCAAACAATCGCCTTCCAACACCCAAATTCGGGCGACCAGATCAGCACGCGTGATCAACCGCTGGTCCTCCTCAGTCTCGTCCTCGGCCGGACGAAGTGCGCTGTCCACGACTTTCATACGAACTTTAAGCGCCTGCACCTCGGTCGTTGCCGCCCCCAGCTTCTCCTCCATCGAGGTCACCTTCCCCTTAGCACCCTCCGCTCGCTTGCGTTGGTCAGCAGTATCTTTCTGACTCTTCTCCAGCTCCTCGGTAAGCTTGGCCAGGCGCGACTGCATGAAGGTAAGGTCCCCCTGCAATTTGGACAGCTCAGCGGCGGAACAGCCGTCCTCGTTCAGGACAAGGGTCGTCGTGAACGTCCGCATCATCGCGGCCAAATCCTCCGCCAGGATACATCGACGAGACTCTCGATCAGCTTCGCGGACAGTCTTCACCTCCCCAGCAGAGACGGTAGGAGACCGGGCACCATGAAAATAGCCCGGATGCTGATGGCACGGCAAAACGACATAACCCTCCTCAGCCGAGCCAGTCGTCAGATCAATCAAGCCGCGGGGCTCCTCGGATCTCGGCCTCTTCGCAGCTCCCTGGGACGTAGGAGACTGACTCCCTTGGGGAGAAGAAGACGAACTCTGGCCTCCCGGTGTCACGGCCTCCTGCCCGACCAGTTGACTCACCCGCGTCTTCGGGACCACGGCGTTCCTTGAAGCGCGCAGCTTCTTCACTCGCTCCTCGACGGAAGACATGTTCGCTGCAAAAACAAACAGAGAGTTAGCAACGGTCAAAACATACAATCACAGGAAAAAAGAAACATCCCTACCTAGATATTCCAGAGCATCCGCCCCCGTGGTGCAACCGAGCAGGGTCTTAGTGTTAATCAGCCTCTTCTTGGTTCGCACGTTCCCCTGCGCATCGAGGATGTACCGACCACCGGGCGTCACCAGTTTCGACGGGGGAAGATCCCGCACAAAGGCAACTATTTTCATATACACGGCCATATCCTTCTCGTCGAGAGTCCCTGCCCGCACGATATACCGATCAGTACCGCGGTTGAAGTGCTCCGAGGTCCACAATAAATGTACCTTGGGGAGCCACGCGAGGAACTGCTGGCCGTCTACCATTCGCTCCCCCTCGGTGAAAAGAGTATCCGAGCCTTCCTAAGTGATCAGTTTCACGAGGAAGAACCGGCCCTTGAAATCTCGAACAGAATCGCTGTACGTCTTGAAGAGCTTGGTCGGCTTCTTAAACGAGACCCATCCCTGATGGTCGTTCACTGACTGGCGCTGCAGGTGGAAGATGCGAAAAAACAAGGGCACCGTGGCCTCCACCTCGAGATAAAAGCATACCACCTCGAAAGCACGGATAAATGCCAAAGCGTTGGGGTGCAGTTGGGACGGGGCCAAGCGTAACCAATCGAAGAGGCCCAGAGGGAAAGCGGAGAACGGCAACCTGAGCCGAGCCTCTTTGAAGTAGAACTCGTGCATGGGATACATCCGCCGCCCATATCGCGAGCAGATGCGATGGTGCTCCTTCGGGCGATACACCTGTCAGTGTTGCGGCTCCCCTTCAGGCGTGTCCTCAACGGTAGTGTAGACATCGGACGCGTCGGCCACGAAGTAGGATGGGGTGGACAGCGGCTCTTCGGCCACCCATTCCTCGACCGGGACGACGCGCTCGTCGAAATCCGGGACCTCGGGTTCATTATCTTCGACCATCGTTCCCGGTACCAAGGCCGACATCTACACCTGAAAAGCAGAGGACAACGGTGAATTCGATAGCCAAGATCAAATCCACCCTTCCACCGCAGGTCAAGTGAAAGGGCGACAAAGGCGGGAGAACGACGAGCGGGCAGGCGCTCCCCGCCGTTCCTCCACGGGGCATTCAAGGGCCAACCTATCATCCCTCCTCGGGATACTCATCGGAAAAGGCGCGCGTCCCCGAGGCGTTCATTGGAGAAAGCCCCCGTCCTCGGGACATTCACCGGAACAACCAATTCTCCCCGGGGCATTCATCAGAACTGACCCAGAAAACCGCCAGATACGGCGGAACTCGCATCTCTCCTCGGGGCACTCATCATGCCCCGACCACAGACCCTAATTAAACGGTAGAAATAAAAGGAGAAAAGAGAGAAACTCACTTGTAACGGCGGAGAACGAGAGGAAGAACTAAACGGCGCGGCGGCAATCTACAGCAATGGCGGACGAGCAGGAATCTCAGAGCTTCGCAGGTAAGACAGCAAGGTGGAAAGTAGAAAAATGAGCGGGGACCCCCATATTTATAACTCGGCGCGGGACTCGAAGCGACGCTAGGCTCTTAAATGACCTAGGGTAGCCGCACCTACTACCACTTAACGCGCGACACGTGGCGGTAACCTGACAGTTGCGTCCTTTCACATGCCTTCTCCCCGCTCTACCGACGATGAAGAGACCCTCGCGCAAGCGCAGGTTCTACCGAGCACAAACCCGACAAACCTCCCGCTTCGCTACCTCTCTCCCCGACGCAGCGACCTTAAGTCCTCGCTCTTTCGCCACAGAGCTTCGACTTGGGGGGCTCCTGTTCTGGTCTGGGCCCAGCCTCGCGGTCCAGCCCAATAACGCACAAGGCCCATTAAGTGGACTAGCCCGACCGGGCACACACACCTCCGTAGGACGGGCAGGGCACGCTTCCCTCCGAGATAGACGGCACGTCCTGTAGCGTTTCAACATCCCCTTTGTCGGCCGAACAGGGCACCCCTGGTCCGTCGAGCAAGACCCTTGGTTCTTCCACGTCCTCGCGTGCTCCCCTCCGCGGGGAGAACAACGTGCCTCTGGGGAACCTCCTGAGCTCCCCTCCGCGGGGAGAACAACGTGCCCGGTGCACGTTCTCCACGTGCCCCCTCCGTGGGGACACGTCATCAACCAACTGCCCACCTCCGAAAGAGCAGGTCAAACCCACTTTCCGGAGATCAAGGAGCAGTTGGACTAGGGCGAAGACCACGTCCTGGTCTTCACTATGCCACATAAACCCTAGCAGTCACCTGGGTTGGGCCTGGCAATCCAGCCCAACGCAAGTGACCGTTGGCCCAGCGCTGGGGTCTCTCTATAAATACCCTCTTCCTCAAGAGGGTCAGGTAATTCACTTCTTACCCCAATTATGTACTTTGCTCTCACTCTGCCCAATTTCTGACTTTGGCATCAGAGTGTCTTGCAGGTGCACCCCCCTTCTCCTCCTCATCACCGGCGAACAGGTAGCAGTCCAACAGCGTGTGGCCGACCCGTGATCCCCTTCTGATCAGGTCAGATCAGTTTTGAATTGTCTAATCGATTGCCATATTTACCCAATTGATTTGGTCAATGCCTTCAATTGTGACAATGTATTAATGAAGTGCAACATGTCTGTATCCATTATTTCTATTTTGAGCCTTTGTAGTCGATATGAACATTTATTTTGGCCCACATATCTTTCCTTTCTTGTGCCAACCTCTAGCATATAAACAGAGACCTATTCCTTCACATATTAACATTTAGAAACGTAAGCTTTCTATCTCACTCCTCACATTCTCTCTCTAACTATATTTTCTATTTTTTTCCTCACTTTAATTTATATGTAGAGCTTCAAGAAAGTCATTGTGTTTAAGTGAGATTTGTATTCTGGAAATAGGGTGTTATTGTAAATTCACAAATGTGTGTTTTTTTCTTGGTTGAATAATTTATTCTTAAGAGAGTGTTTGTTTGGGTTCAAAACTAAACTCGTTAAAAACTTTGTTTAAGGATTTAGTTTTTAAGTCACCGGTTCAGATCGAGATTAGTCCGATTTAAAATCTCAACTTGGTTCATGGTCAGCTTGCTCAAAATTCCGGTTCGATTCGAGATCAACCTGGTTTAAAAGCTCAACTTGGTTCGTGGTCAGCATGTCCAAAACTCCAATTTGGTTTGAGATAAGTTAATATAAAATCTAGATTTAGTTTGAAGGCTAACTACTTCAAGTTCGTTGTTTGAAAGGAAGATTAATCCTTTTAGTTTGTTGTTTGGATGAAAGACTAACCACTTTAGTTCGTTTTTTAAAAGAAAGAGTAGTCACTTCAGTCTGTTGTGTTTTGTTTGATCAAAAGTTAGTCTGAAACTTCATTTTTTCTTGTATAAGCAGTTCGAGAGTTTAACCTATTAAAAGCTCGTAAAAATTACTAGATAATGTCAAGATCATATCTCATGGACATGATTAGGTCTTCTTGGCCAAACATATATAATTCTCTGATGTTATTTTTCTTACCCTTAATTCTTTATTTTTTTAAATATTTACTTTCCGCTGGTATTCATAAAATCATTTTTATCAAAATGGTTTTAAACTCTAAAAATGACAATAATTTATTTTCAAACTATCGTTTTGTTTTTAAACTACACAATTCGCCTCTCCTATTGTGTGAAATCAAATGTGCAACATTTTAGTCTATACTACTAGTGGAGAGACTAATGATCTATTTTAATATAAATTAATTTTTGCAAAAGAGTAAAATTACAAAAACAAAAATGAATTAATGAAAAAAGAATTCAGAATTACCAAGAAAAGAAACTTATAGAAACTAAAATAAAAATTTATTTATTTACATGTACTTTGGATATTTTTTTATGTGTTCTGGTGTAACTGAAATTTGAAAACAAAAAATAGTTTGATAAAAGTTACTATAAAATTTGACTGGAAATTATCAAATTTGCTCTATATCAAATAATCAAATTTCCAGCAACACAGGAAAAAACCTAATCTTCAATGTCAACTCAAAATTCAAATGTCTACCACGAAAGACAAAGATTACAGTTTTGTCTCTTACACACTCTCAATTCACTCTTTCAGGTACTTCTTCTTCTCTTCTAACCCTTTTCAATTCAATAATCGATTCTTCAATTGAACTATTACCCGTCACTTAAACCCTATAAATTACGAATCTTTTTTAATAATTTGTTCGAATTATGTCTGTTTCTGATTCTGGGTCTGTTTTGATTTTGATTTCCATTCAATCAGCAAAAAGATGCTTTTACTCGAGAAAATTTGAATGCAATTTCTGAAAAACTAGCATTTGATGACACCTCCAACAGTGATTCATGGACACCGTTTTCTATCTTGTTCAAACCCCATCATAATGCATTGACTGGAAACTATGATATCAATGTTCTAATAGCTGCTTTGGAAGAGAAAGGGAAGAGTGTAGTTTGGCACGATCGGCGAAATGGAGGTTCCTCGATTGATCTTGATGCGCCGGCAGATGTTTTGATGGGGGTTGTGGTTAATGTTTCGGTGAAAAGATTTGCTGGGATTTGGAAAGGTAGACATTGGATTGCTTTGAGGAAGATTGATGGGGTTTGGTATAACTTGGATAGCGACCTTCCTGGTCCTAAATGTTTTCGAGATAAAGATGAAGTGAGAGAGTTCTTGGATTCTAGCATTGTTAATGGTGGCGAGGTTTTGCTTGTCATGAATCAGAAACAACAGTCTTGAAATTTTTTGGTAAATGTTTGTAAACTTAATTCTCTGATTTTGAATTTTATGCTTGTATCGTGTATAGTACAAGATTGATAGCGTTTCAATGGAGAATGCTGATTACTAATTCTAATGAATTTTCGATGTATGGTTGCTTCTGGAAGATTGTCATTGTAAGTAGTATGTGTTTGTATCGAATGTAATGAACTAATTGAATGCATGATTCATTGTGTGTATTGGATATGTAATGCAACTGTGAACCATTGGCAACTTTGAAAGTCATTTAAACTGCAGAGATTGAATTGAATTCTGAAGATCCTGCTAAAGGTTTTCTGCGATACTATAGTTTTTTTGAGGCCGTGGAAACCATCTGTGGTATTTTTCGGCATGGGGACATACTTCACAGAACAACAAGGTCCTAAGATTTCCGTTTATTATAACCACATATGCACCATCTATGAATATTTGAGGAATACTAACAACACATTCTTTAGAACACACTCTTGAACATGCACTTTATGATTGATACATTTTATAAAAACAAAAAACCAACTGATAGTGTAAAGTCTGTTAAAAAAATGATGTTGCTAGGATTATTTATATAAATGATTGGGTTTATTCTTGGCTCCAAATTTCACATTCTAATTGATACAAAAGTAGTTACTATATAGTGATAATAGTATATTGAAAATATCAAAATTTGTAGAGGGATAGTCTCTTAAGTGGTGTAAACTTGTATTTTGAAGTCTTATCCTGAGGTATGCTTTCATAGTATAAACATTTGCTTAGCGGTGGCCAAACGGCCCCGCCTGTTGGTATGCTTTCATAGTATAAACATTTGCTTAGCGGTGGCCAAACGGCCCCGCCTGTTGGGCGTGTCCGTTTTGCTTGCACTTTTTCGCAGGACGGGTTAGGATTTTAGACTTGCACCCTCTAATATGTTTGCCTCGTTTTTTTCTCGGGTTTTTGCGAGCATGGACATTAAGATCAATTTTTGGGCTGTAGGGGTGCAGTGCCCGCGGGCATGCCCCACCCTCATTTTTTCTAAAGACAGATCAAAGTTTTAGGCCCACACTCTCAACTATGTCTGTCTGGTCTCGTTTTTATGCAAACTTTTGAGGGGCGGACATAAACAGGACCGGCATGCCATACATGATTGTCCTAATTATTAAACATTGTGCTTCTCCATTTCATTGCATGCTTAAGTTAATAATTAAACCACTCCAACATCTTAATGGAGAATATCAAAGCCTTGGCTTTTTCTTTTGGCATGTGGTCCTCACATTTGCTAATTATTTTCTGACAGAAGAATAGTCCTCATAAGCTGCATAGAAATAAAATATTGCAGCGTTTACATGGAATTCCAAGTGGTCTCAAGTTTCACACGAACTACTATTGATTAGGACCTTTTGCAAGTATATCTGTGGACTCAACACTGTTCCACTCAATGAGTGGAAAATTTGATAGAAACTTGAAAGCATCAAATTTTAAAGCATGCTAGATGACGCTCTTTTGCTTTCTTTTATATACACAAAAGTCTTAGAAACTGCATTAACATTCAATGTTTCACATTATACTTTTTCTCAAAGTTTAAAATATGGATTTGGATCATATGCAGTGTGATTGTACGTAGTCCCTTATATGTGCATTGCCTGTTCTTGATCTGATGATTAGATTTCAGTGCTGATTTTGATTTTCTTTAAAATATGATAATAGTGAGCTTGAAAATTAGACTATTATACAACCCGGTCTCTCACCTAAAGCATTTCTCCCTTACAGACCTCATGTTTGAGGGATTATTTACATATCCGATAAATTTGTCCGTATCCAAACCCGTGTTAAACGGAGACTGCCTCGGTTTTAAGTCATTCTGGAGCAAAACTGAGCTAGTTCAAACTTAATGGGCCAAGTCAAGCATGTCGGCTCAGAGCTAACGTATCTTACTTCTGACCAATCACTCGAACATGCAGATAGAGCATTTTAAGACATGAATAGCCATTATTAAGTTAGTCTTAGACAAGGAGCAATGAAATTGATCCCGCAAGAAGGGGACATTAGTCTTAATGGCCATCAATCAGTCTTAAGGACACATAATATTTGATGTTCTATTTATAATGGCAACCATGAACGGAAAATGATATACACGTTCTATACAGTTTCGACTTAGACTTGTGACTTCGATTGGCTCTGCGTTGGAGTTATCAATTCGCGGTTGTGTGTACAACTGTGTGATCTTGATCAAAAGGCTTAGATGTGTCTTGCTGGACTAGGAGCTTAGAGGGAAAAAAAACAAATAACAATGGAACACATCTCAAGTGCTGGTTTTGCAAGCATATAGTAAAATAAGTAACTGATGTGTAGCCCCACCTTCCTCATTTTTTAATGTCTTGTTCCTGATGTAGGAATGGAATGATGACACAATTGCTTTAAACTAAATATTCCTGCTATCTTTGATTTCACTCAAGTTAGATACCTTTTGTCCTCTTCACCATGACACAGAAATCATAAAGTATGTTCTTCAAAGTCACAGGGCGGCAATTTCTCTGAAATAGAAAGCAATAAAGAGCTATCAAGCACGGATACCGGATACGACACCGACAATGACACGTCGACACCAGTAATAATTTGAAAATATGAATAAATTAAATGTATTTACTAATGTCAGTGTCGTCTCGGTGTCGGTGTCAGTGTTCGACACTAACATTGATACACTTTTTTTCGAAGTGCCGGTGCTACAAAGATAAAGAGTGCAAATGTATCAGCTACTTTTTTTTTTTTTACTTAAATATACATGTCTGTTTTCTCACTACCTTAATCCACTTTTCTACTTGTTTTTGATGAATTTTCATTTGTTCTTTCACACAGGTTTTTCATGATAAACATACTCACATGAGAATATCCCTATAAGTACTTGCTTCTTACTCAAACACAAAATACCTTCCTCCTTCCAAAGCTCTCACCTACAATACTTTTAACTTACAACAACAGCTTCACATGTATGGTCTCTTTCTTGGTAGAATATTAATATTACCATCATCATGCAAACAATAGTAGTAAGCAACAAAACGAGTCACAATGAGAAAACAAGCTCGTCATGGAGACAAAATTCTAATCGAAAATCGGCTAGAAATCGGCATGTCAGAAGCTGCACATTCAGGATTCCTTGGCAATCTGAATTCTCTCCCATTGAGGTTTTCAAAGATCTTGCAGAAAGAGTGACGAACTCTTTAAGGTTGGTCTCTCAGAGGAAATCTTTACACAGAGACTCATCGTCCTTAGGAAGATCAGCATCAGCAGGGTCATCTGCTGATTCTCATAGAACAGCTGCTGTTGAGGATTGCATTGAGTTCATCCACTCATCTTTTTCTAGATCAAATTCCTCAACAAAAACATCGCGCGAAGACTCTATAGAACCTTCTTGAGATACTTATGATTAAATTTTCAACCACAAAGGTGTGCTTGCTTACTGTATATAAACAGAATCAGTGTTTATTGTTTAATCTTTTTCATGAATTTCTAATATTGCATTTCATTTCAGCTCAAATTTATTCTGTAAAATTTTATTGACCTTCTGTGTTCAATATAAACCAGAAAAACAAACAAACAACATATTAAAAAGACCTCGTACTCGTAAATAGATTAAAATCTAAATAAACAGAAACATATAATATTAATATGCATGCAACTGGATTAAGCACTTGCATGATATATATTGCTTGAACTAATTCTTGGAAAACAATCCTTCAAAAACACCCTTTTTCTTTTGTGGAACTGCCACAGAATTCTTGCCACCACTTCTAGTTCCACCACTTCTAGTTCCACCACTTCTACTAGAAGTGGTGCCTCTACTATTCTTCTTCTCTTCAACTTTCTTGAGAATAGGATCAGTCTCTAGCAACTGATCTTCTTTCTGCATACCACCGAGAATCCAGTCAAAAAATCCTTTCTCTTCCTTGCTTGCACCTGCTGCACCCTTTGTAGCTGCAAACACTCTTCCTGTTGTTGGAGCAATTGATGACATGGTAATGGAAGCCATTGATTCTTCAAGCTTAGTTCCAAAGTTTATATCAAAATGGTAAGTGTTAGCACTGATGACATATAGTTATATATATTTTGTGGCTATTTTTCTGAAGTAAATATGAGCCGTTAGATTGAGTTAGTATGATGATATTGAAGTTGAAGAGCCAAGTTTAGCACAAGGTCTCCACAAGTGTATTATCTTGAATGTTTGGAATTTTGTTTCTTAGCAAAAATGTTTTTCAAAAATAAATGATTATAGCATGGTTGTGAATTTGACGTGTGGCACAATCAAAACCAGTTTTTATGTTGTTTTTTTGTCCACAAACCAAAAAGAAAAAGACTCTTTTAAAATATGTTTTCTAGTTTTTTTCTTCTTCTTATTTTACAAGTATTATTTTTCTTTGGACTGTTGTTTTAGAATTTTGATGCAAGTCCATTTTCTGAGAGCGGTTAAACAGACTCTAACGACTCTCTGTCTTGCACTCCACGCTGTGTTTGCAAAGCTTACAAAGAAAAGAGATGAAGTTGGCATTGAAACTTCTAACTTTTTGTTGAATTGCATGCAAAGCTATATAGTAATTGAATTAAATGAGTGGAAATTATTGATCTAAGCTTTAATTTTTGTCGGACATTTATATTTATCGTAAATAAATTGTTTATATTTATAAATTAATATATTTTTTTTAAAATACATGTGTACTTATTAAAAAAACTTAATTTAGATTTTCCTCTTATAAATTAGTATAAAACTAGGTAGCTATGTCTAAATATTTATGTATTAATATTTTTTTTCTAGTCTCGAGATTCATTTTGGTCCTTTAACTTTAAAGTTTAAATTAATCTTTTAACTCTTTAAAATATTTTATATTAGTCTTTTTTGTCTTATTAACCATGGAAAAATTTAAAAATTTGTCGTTAAATTTGTCGTTAATTAGACAAAAAAGATTAATATGAAACATTTTGAAGAGTTAAGGAACCTATATGGACTTTTTTAAAGTTAAAGGATCAAAATCAATTTCGAAGTTAATATACGAGACCAAAAAAGATATTACATTTATTTTATAATTATTGTATTGGAACTATATAACCCGGTAATATAATTGAAATCATTAAAATATTTTAGTATATAATATTATTATTTTTAAGTCCACTTTTTAGTTGATGATCAAAATAATAAAAATAAAATTTTTTAAGCTTTGTAATTTCTTCTTACAATGGTAGAATGTGAAGAGTGTTGAATTGTAATTTTTTAGGTTGAAGCAAGTTGTTCAACAGGGGTAAGGAAGTTGTCGAATAGTTTAGTGTTTGTGTCAAAACGTCTAATTGTCGAAGTATTGAAAAGTTAGCCTTGACATGAATTTTGTCTTAAACTTAATTTTATAGTGTTAGCATAATTAGGTATTTTGAATTTTTGTTTTTGGAATTTGCATAGGAAGCAAGCAATTTAAATATATAAATAGGGAGTAACCCTATTATTGTAAAGTGTGATTCACTTGAATAAAATTGCAGTTTTGAGAGAAAAGAGTTACTCTGCAGAATTGTTTTTCTTCCCTATTTTGTGAAAATCCTAAACCTTTTCTTCTTTCTTAATTCAAATTTCTTTTCTTACTTTCATCATCATTGTGCAACAATACAATCTTCCAACAAAGGTTGGTTAATTTCCTCGAGTGAAGAGTGAAGAATGAGAATGAATTCAACCGGCGTGATTGAATCATGTTTCGGCATGATTGAATCATGTTTATCAAGATTGATTCGTAATTACTCAAAGTCTTGAGTTTAATTTTGACATATGGTATCTAGAGCACTGATTGAGCGATTCGTGGGAAGCAAAACACGATGGCGATGAATCATCCGAATGGGTATTTTTTGACGAGTCTCCCAATTCTAAAGGGTCAAAATTATGAGAATTGGTGCAAATAGATGAAAGTGGTTTTCTATTATCAAGATCTTTGGGATCTTGTGAAGGAAGGAGTAACACCACTTGCAGAAAACACGTTGGATCAAGAAAAAACTGCATACAAAGAATTGAAGAAGAAAGATTATAAATCTCTCTTTATAACATTAATGTGTTAATCCAGAAAATTTCGAAAAGGTCAGTGATGTAGAATTATCGAAAGAAGCATGTGAGATCTTGAAGAAATCGTTTGGAGGCGCAGAGAAGGTGTGTCATACCCCAAATTTGTCCTACGCTAAGTTACTTCATCTTTGTTTCAGTTCATTTTCGTTGATCATATATTGCCTCTAGTTACAGGAAACATTCACGTCCAATTATATCCATATGGAACACATGTTTAGTTCTAGAGGCTCCTGTATTGCATGTGGAGTTGAGGTTCGTTGAGTTTATTGGTAAAATTCAAGAATTATTTTCGTCACTGAAGTTATGAGTCTTGATTTTGGATTGTCTGGATGAGAATTAAAATATCACAAGGAGTGCTATTAAATGAACGGGATTGACGGAGGTTTGATGTAAAATTTTGTTTCTTACCCGATTCAAGGAAGGATGTTTTGTTATTATTTGAAGGGAAGCATAATACAAAGTATGGTTGTTTCATTTCTATCGTTTCCAAGCCCCGTGGGATACAACATGAGGAAAGTTACTACCAAATTGGGTTGAGAATTTATTTTTATTTAAAGTCATAATTCATGTTGTAAATTCATATCAATCTTCTCGGACCGAATGGTCAGTTGGTACTCGTAACTTGGAGTTTGGTCTTGTTAGTAGATGCCACTTCCATGAGAATGATGATAAGCTTCTTGAATATTTAAGTGAGCGCCAAAAAGGATGGTTATATAGTCAATAGAGTTGTGACTGAAATAGACAAACAAATGTTCAGAATCATAGAGCTTCCTACACGATTTTAGGCAAAATGGGAACGATGCAATTGTAAGACATGGAAATCAAGATGAAGCCAAAAAATAATTCTTTTGCACATCAAAGTTACATCAACATGACTCTTGGATTTGTACATTATTCTTTGATAATACATCACAGCAAATGAGCTTGTTTCAAATTGAAAAAGACATTAATGGGTAAGTTCAATTCGCACATCATACAATATGATTTGTACAACTCATCAATTATCTCAAAATCCATAATATCCCCACCTGCATCATCGTAAAAAGAAAAAGGGGCTACGAGTAAAAGACGCTAGAGTAGCAAGAAACCCCCTCAGAATTCTCATTTGATATAGCCAAAGTTGCAGTTTCTCAGATCTTCCAATCAGTTGGCTACAAAAGATCCAAATACGATGCTCTTGAGGCCTTAACTAATGTTACCACAAAATATCTCGAAGCCATTGCAAGATCAGATGCCTCTTTTACCAATGCATCCAACCGTACTGAATCTAACTTCTTTGACCTCATTAATGGCATCCATGTTATGTGTTCTGTTCGTGGAGTTCCTGGTGGTTCAAAAATGCATACAAGTAATTTGCTGAGCTCCCTGCTGTAAAACCAACAGCACATGCTTCACAAAACCGTTTCAATATCGAAAGTAGTATGAGTACTAATCCATCGGCATAACAACCCATATCCTGCGATGAAGAGACGAAATCAAGAATGTTACAACTACAAAACAACCCGAAGGCAATAAAAAAGCACTATTTTCGAAACCCAGGTAAATGAAAACTCATTGAAACACCATCATGAGAAAGCTGTGCATGAAGAGATGAGCCAGGTACCTGCTTCCTGGGAGCCTAATTCTGATGCTAATTTATCTGCTGGGTTTGAACATGAGAAATCTACTGATAACATGCAAATTCGTCAGGAGGATTCTGGTATGAATGATATTGCCGCATTACCGAATTCGGTCCCTGCATGGTTCAGCCAGCCAAACAGCAAGAAGTTCCCTAACATTGATGTATGTAGAGATTCAGAGTCAGCAGTTAGCTATAAAAGAAATGAAGGTCCAGGAAAATACAAGTATCATATGGAGAACCCTTTAATTTTAGAATCATCTAAGAAGGAAAAAAGAAGAGACAGTGCGAGATGATACTCTGAAAGAAAGTGATGCTTTTGTTGTTGTGCCAGCTCAGCAAGATATTGTAGTCCTAGCCAACTCTTCAGAGCCTGCACAGGATGATTATAGTGCAACAGACAGTCTGACTGTCAACGTTGACGCTGAAACAAATGAATTGGCGCCGGTATCAACTTCTTCAGAATCGGAACAAATTGGTTAAAATGCAGCAGACATTCTGACTGGCAGTATCGATGCTGATATAAGTGAACTGGAACTAGTATCCACATCTTTAGAGTCTACGCAAGATGAGGAAAACATAACTGAGTTCGTGCCAGTATTAACTTCTTCAAGGTCTGAACAAATTGGTTATGCCACAACAAACACCAACAACGCACAAACCGTATGTTGCTACCACAAGGCAACCCCTGCATAAACAGCAAATTTTTGAGAGTTAGTGGCGAACCGCATCACGCGTATGACTAAAGTGAAATAAGCAGCAATACAGTGCAGTAGATAAAATCTGAAGAAAAAAAGGGAGAAAAGCTCTTCATCATGGAACAAACCGTGAAAAACAACCACATCGTTGCTACCCCCACCACATGGAATCACTTTGTCTTCAAATTTGTTTTACTCCAAGAAGGGCCATGGGAAACCAATTGGGTTCGAAAATTATCAAATCGTTTCTTCTTATTGGTGAAGTGCTTGCAAGCACAGCAGTTGTGGATTTTACACCGCATGTGTTTACCATTCATACAGGAAAGGATATTGTTGGGAATATCTTCTCATTAACGCAGTGCAATCAAAGTTCAACTCACTGCTGCCTCGCGAGACGTCTTGAATAACATACCTCTTAGCTAACAAGGCAATTAACAAATGTTATTGCATTAAGAAAAAACCGACGATAAACTGAGAAGAAGTCATGTATGGTGGTGAGTTCTGTCAAATTGCGGTGTTCCTTCAAAGTAGATGTTGATAGCTCAGTATAGATCACCATGATTTGGTCGAGCAAAATTCTCGCTTTGGGTATGATAAATCAACCAAATTAGATGAGGGCGAGA